TTAAAAAGATTGAGAAGCTATCGTGCCTCCTCTCCTTTATTACTCTCGTTTCACTTCAATGAAAAGTAGAAAGATAGAATTAATTTGCATTGATTCAAATAATTAAGAATCTTATACTCTACACCCCAATCGTTATCGTTAGGAATAAATTTCTCTATCAAGTTGCTTAATTTACTTGTTGTATCATGTATGGTTTCTATGAGATCTCAACTTTATGTTTTTCTTTTTCTCAAATGTTGTAACTCGAATGTTCGATAAAAACTATTCATTACATATATAATGCATTTTTTTAATATAAATATGAAGGCTTAGCAAATTTACTATTCAATGAGCTGAGGAAATGGAGGGGTGTGTGTGCATAAACCCTGCTAACTTTTTATCTTATGGGTGGCCACATGGTTTTTGCTTAAATATTGAGTTATAATATATTGGCCTAAAAGAAAATTTCAAGACTTAAAAGCCTAAATTCTAAACCTTTACGATCATCCTAAACCTTTAAAGTAAATAGATTGTGTTCGGATGGAATCAAAGTCGAAATAATAACATGTTGGTCGACCCGAAACTTAAACATTCACGTCCGCAAAAGAATGAATTACATTTATATGTGTGTTTTTTTTTTTTTTTCTATAAAACTTTATTTTAATCCTTGTCAAATATGACTTTTAGACTAAAATTATGAGTAAGAACACAATCTAATTTTAGTCCATTGATACATTAATCAACTAATTTATTACTTATATTTTGATGTTTTAATTATTTCTTCTTTTTTCTTCCAAATTTTAATGTTAATTTCATTTCAATATAATCATAATTTTCATTTCATTCATCGTAATATATTTTGTTGTAAATAATTAGATAAACTAATTTTTATTACACAATATATTTCCATATACTTTGTCTTCTTCATTATAATACAATTCAGTGCATACATTTAGGTACACACATTTCGGTACATGCATTTCGATACAAACATTTAGGAACATTAATTCAATATAATACATTTCAGTACACACATGTAGATATATTAATTCAATATAATACACTTCGGTGCATACATTTTGGTATATACATTTTTGTACTAATATTTAGTTACATTAATTCAATATAATACATTTCGAAACTAATATTTAGGTATATTAATTTAGTCCTTCAAGTTTGAAGAATGTTAAATAAAATTAATGAATTAATATAAAAAAAATTGTGATTAAAAAATAAATTAAAATGTGTATATTAATAAATTTAAATATTATAATGGGAGACATTTAATAAAATACACATTAATTAATTTGAATTAAGAACACATCAAGATACTATAATCAATATGTAATCTAACATCAATTTTTTATTAAATTTCTATCTTCTTCAAGAATTAAAGTTAAAAAACCTCTTTTTTTTTATATACAACCTTTAAATAGCCTTTCCACTATGCCACGATGTAAATTTGCATGAATAGTTGAGCGAAGTAGGTATTCTTGTTAGGCATCAGATACCGTAAAGCAGGCAATAGGCATCAGAGGCATGCACACTCCACTCACTAGCGTCGATGAGGCTTTTTTTTTTTTTTGGAAATTTTTTTTTAAAAAAGAGATAATCGGTGGCAAATCACGGTTATCCATCTTTTTAAGGATAAAAAAACCTCACAAAGACATTTCAGTTTCTCTCTACCCACTTGCTAGTGTCGAGCCTAGTAGCTAGGCTCAAAATTGCCACCCTCTTGCAGAAAAATGATTCAATTAATTTTAATTGTAGGCAAAAGAAGAAATAAATCTATTTGTAAATTAAACTTTTTAGGCCTTTACGCCCACATGTAATATTATTTTGTTATATCTTAGACGTCTGTAAAAAAGTTGAATTAACTGTAGTAGTTAGATAGTTTAACTTTCACAAAAGACTGGATTAATAATGAACCTCCCAACATAAATTGTATATTATTTTATTATATGCCCCACATATAAACTTTATTTTCCAACGCCTATCACCGTGACCATGTTAAGAGAGCGCAAGAGAAAGAAAAAGAAAAGGAATGTGTATATATAAGGCCAATTGAAGAAAAGAAACAAAAGAAAATTAGAGGTTATTGAAAGAGTTGTATAACGTATGAAGATGAGAGTTAAAAAACATTACATGAAAAGGATAAAGAGATGATGGAAGTGGGCAAATATGTGCATGAAACGATGAGCATAAAGGCCATATGGGATTATGGGGCTCAAAACCGATGGAAAGGAAAAACCCCATTAGAACTTGGAATTTTTGGATATTACAAAGAATATACGATGTCCTTGCGACCCTATCATATTTCTTGCCACTCAATTCTTCCCTTGTTTTGTCTTTTATTATCTTCCTTCCCATCCCATGACAACATCTAACCAACTTGCACTTACTGACATTACAGCAGCTTAATAATTAGGCTTCAGTTGTATGATTTGTGTAGATTATGTTCGGTGATATCTCGCTTCTTTTTTTTCTTTTTTCTTTTTTTTTTTTTTTTTTTGTTGTTAGTGGAGAAGAAAGAGATTTGATTTTAGAAACTTCGGTTGAGATTATCATGACCGCTACAATACAAGATTAGAGATTGCATAAGTATTTTGCTTAGCTATCAGCTCAGTTTAATTTAATCGGAGCAACAACTAGCAAGAGAAAATAACATAATTAACTCAACTGGCATACCTCTCAATATCTCCCAAGTAACAACTTTTAAGCAACCAAGTTTAAGAAACTAAGACCATCTCCAACCGAAGGGTCCAGAGTGCCAAAAATTGTCCGAAAATCGTCTCCAACCGAGTGCCAAGCCAAAGGGCTCATGGACCTCACTGGACAAAAAAGGGCCAAAAGGCCAATCGACCGGCCCAAATGAGCCAGCCAGCCGGCCCCGGGCCGAGACAAGATTCAAACTTCCAACGGCTAATTGCTGACGTCAGCTAGTAGTTTTTTTTTTTTTTTTTTTTTACAAAATTTGTAAATTCTATTTTTTTTTCCTATAACTTCCTAAGCCATTAAATAACATTAAATTAAGGGTAAATTACACTTTCATACCTCAGGTTTGGGGTCTATTTCAATTCCTTACAACATTTTCAAAACATTTCACTTTCATACCTTAAATACTATTTTATTTCAAAATAATGTCTCCGTTACATTTTTCATCCATTGATCTATTAAATGTTGACGTAGCTGCCACATATATACCACATGACTGCCAAATGTTTGCTACGTTGCAAATAAAAATAATTTTTTAATTTTTTTTTTTTTAAAAACCTGAATTTTCTCAAAAAATGAAAAAAATAAATAAATGAAACCCACTATCCCTCCCCCCACCCTAGCAACCCACATCCCTATCCCTAACCCAAAACCCAAAAAACCTGTTGCAGCAGCAAGAAGAAGAAGAAGGGACGAAGAAGAAGAAGAAAAAAAAAAAAACCTGCAGCAGTAGCAGCAGGAAGAAGAAGAAGAAGAAGGAAAAAAAAAACCCCAAACCCAGTTTGTCCCCCCTCCCCCCCGGCGTAGCACGAACTCCCCCCGCTGCAGCAGCAAGAAGAAGAAGAAGAAGAAAAAAAAAAAACCTGCAGCAGCAGCAGGAAGAAGAAGAAGGAAAAAAAAAACCCCAAACCCAGTTCGTCCCCCCCTCACCCCCCCTCGGGTCAGGATCTCGTGATTTTCAGTATGGGTGGGTTTTGAAAATACTTTGAGTTTGAGATAATTTTTGGACTGGTTTTGTGGTAAATCCACCTAATCTCGGGTGGAATTTTTGTGGGTGATGGGGATTTTTGGGAGGGGTGATGGGGGAAGGGAGAAAGGGGTGGCTCGGGTGGGACAAAATGGGCCATTTTTTTTCCCCTCCCTTTTCTTCTTATTCTTGCAAGTTTTTGAGTTTTGGGTTAAGGTCGCTTGGGGGGGGGGGGGGGGCCGCCGGGGGAAGGCACTGGTTTCAATTTTTTTTTCTTTTTTTTTGAGAAAATTCAGGTTTTTTAAAAAAAATAAAAATATTTTTATTTGCCACGTGGCAGACATTTGGCAGCCACATCAGCATTTAACATATCAATGGATGAAAAATATAACGGAGGTATTATTTTGAAATAAAATTGTACTTAAGGTATGACAGTGAAATGTTTTAAAAATGTTATAAGAAATTGAAATAGACCTCAAACCTGAGGTATGAAAATGTAATTTACCCTTAAATTAAATTAAGTAACATGAAACAATATTAAACAATATGAAACAACATTAAATAACATTAACCAACATAAAAATTATACAACATAAAAAGAAAAACATTTAACAACATGAAACTTAGACAACATTTTTAAAAACATTTAACAACATAAAACTTAAACGACTACTCTATGCTTCTTTTGGCCCAAAGATGTGCAACAAGATCTTGTTGTAAGTACTTATTTGTGGCATGGGAACATATCATCCTATAATGCCTTATGTACTCATTTATAGAGATACTACCAATTTTTGGATTGAAGGGCAAATTAGGCCCATCATATATTTTTGCACGAGCTCTTCTTGACCTATTTGGATACTCTTAGTCGTCATCAGACTCTCCATCAATATACCCATCTCGCTCATCCTCCACAATCAGGTTGTGTAATATGATGCAAGACATCATGATGGAGTCCAAATTTTCTAGACTCCACCCTCTTGCCGGTTCCTTGATGATCTTCCACCGCGCTTGTAGAACACCAAAATATTTCTCAACATCTTTCCGGTATGCCTTTTGGTGTAACGTAAAACACTTTGTGGCATCATTTTTAGGGTTTGGAATTGCTTGGACAAGTGTTGCCCACTTTGGGTGGATGCCATTGACGATGGTCGTTGATGTAGTAGTCAAGTTGAGGTGATTTATCTTCAGTCAGGTTATTGAAGAGGGGTGAATGCCCAAGAACTGTAATGTCATTTTGAGATCCAGGGACTCCAAAGAAAGCATGTCAGATCCATGTGTCATATGAGACAATCGCCTCTAACACAATAGTTGGCTTTCTCAACCTTCCGCTAAAGCCTCATTGCCATCCGGTGGGACAGTGCTTCCAATTCCAATGCATGTAGTCTAATGACCCTATCATGCCCAGAAACACACAGTCTTCAGCTTTGCAAATAAACTGATCCAGATCTTCTTGATTTGGCTCGCGGAGGTACTCCTCTTTGTAAAGCTGAACAATTATGTTACAGAATTCAACAAGAGTATTAAGACATGTAGATTCAAACATATCATGGGTTTCATCCATCGAATCAGCTGGGAAGTCATAGGCCATCATTCGTAGTTCAATAGTAACCTTCTGATGAGGTGAGAAACCAGAGCGGCCTGCGCTGTCTAGCTTCTGTTGAAAGTATAGATTAACCTGATGGACATCATTAAGTAAACGCTTGAAGACAGGACGCCTCATCCGAAAGTAACGTCTGAAATCATCTTCTATGTACACCAAGTTGGGGTTGAAGTAGTTGTTCATCAAATTGGCATGCGTCATCACTCTGTTTCGTGGTTTGTAAGAGCAACCAGCAACAAAGCCAACCCATTGAGGTTGTTCCTCAGTTGGCTGACACACCATGGCCGCAGCCATGGCTACCACATATTGTGTGTTGCGCCATGCTTCATCTTCTTCATCAGACTCCTCATCTTCCCGTCTCATATGCGCCCATTTTTCTTCCAATTCGGAATTGGACGAGGACTTCCAATTCGGAATTGGATAAGGACCCCCAATTAGAATTCGAAAAGGATCTAAAGTTGGAATTTATTATAAACTTGAATTGAAAGAAATTGAAATGAAATAGATTGAATTCAAACGTGTGTGAATTATAGCCCAATATCCATCCTATTTATAGCAAAAAAAAAAAAAAAAATCAAATCGAATGGCTAGCTGACATCATGCTGACATCAACTAGCCATTGGATTTGAAGTTGAATTTTTTTTGGCCAAAATTTGTAAAAAAAATATTTAAAAAATCTCATTTTTTTTTTCTATAAATTTAAGTTGTAGTTTTTAAATTTAATTTGTAGTTTTTAAACATAAGTTGTAGTTGTTAAATTTAAGTTGTTGTAGTTTTTAAATTTAAATAATAAATTGTGTTTGGCCCTCTGTTAGAGACGGTTTTTTTGTGACAGGGCTAAACCGAGCCATATAGCCGTTTGGCCCTCGGTTGGAGATGGTAAGAAATATGACCATGCATTGTTCATTAAAATATTAATTTCTTAAAGGGTCAGAGGGTTAAAACGAGCCATCTGGCCCTCGTTCAGTTGGAGATGGTCTAAAGTTGAACAAAACGGGACTTGCGCCATAACCATCCAACAGTAAAGGTAAGTCTTCCATATAACTAAACTAATCTAAACTAAGGGACTAGCCAAGATAACTTCTGCAATTCTTAACCTGCCTTTCATTGGTAGGAGTCCACCACAGAAATCGACCTAATATACTCCAACCAAGGAAACATTCAGGGTGCTTGAAGGGCTTGGGTGCGGGGCAATTGACCTGGAGATGGACACCAAGGTGTGTTTGTTGCACCTGACTATTTCATATTGGATTAGCTTTAGGAACTAAGCGGGATTGACTCGGAATGAACTAAGTGGTATAAAAATAATGAAGCATTTGATCCAGTGTCAAACTAAATTACGGATTAAATTATTCTAAAATTTAGATTTTTTGTTTTGTTTTTTTAGATCTCTCCTATCTCTACCATTCTTTCTCATCGCACCAGACAAAACTTCTCAAATTTTCTCGAATTCTCAGAAATCAGACTAAACCAATTGTTCATCTCTCTTCGCACCAGACAAAACTTCTCAATTTTTCTCCAATTCTCAGAAACCAGACTAAACCATGCCTAACGAAAAAAATCAAAGGGATGAGTAGTGCAAAGAAAAGAAGAATCGCAAGAAGGAATTGAGATCCAGAGGCTTGGTTCCTGTGGGCACTGGTATTCGATAGCGACAGGGGATAAATATTTGACAGAGGCACAATTTCTTCCCACTGGATGATCCGTTGCTACTTGACTCTCTTTCTTATCTGTCTTCCCACTCTGAATTTTGAGACTTAGGTGGTGGGGGCTGGGTACGGCCATACAAGCATGGGTGGGGATCGGAGTTGCAAACAACACAGTGTGGGGATCGAAGATGTAGATGGTGTGCAGTCATGCATGACAAAGACGAGGACGCGGTGGAAAGACCGTATTAGCTACTCCTAAGGTATTTGGGAAATTTCACTAGGGCCGGCTAAGTAAGGTTTTAGTCAGAACGACTGAATGTTAGTTTCACTATAGTTAGTCTCTTGCGGGTAACAAACATGGGACTGAGCTAAACTTTAGTCTAGTCTAGTCCGGTATTGGTGAGGGAAAACAAACACCCCTTAAGATCCTGGCACCAGCAGGTCTTTATCTGGATCTTAGGTCGCCAAAGGCGAATTTGAACCACATTAAAAGAAACATAAAAGAAAATCCTAATTAACTAGAGAAATGGAAACATAATCCTTATGAGACAAGAAAATATAAAAGGAAGTTTTAACGAAAGCCCAAGGTACTGTTCACTTTAACGAAAAACCACATTTTTTTCATTAGTTTTCCTAAAATAAAATTACTCAAAGCTTAAAAACCCAAATATTCCGATGGTTGTAGCGATGGTTGAACATGAATTTTCTTTCTTGCGTGGTCTCTTGCCAGCCGTCCATCATCGTATTTTCCGTAATTTTAGCCACTTTAATCGACCCCTATTTTGTCATACATTAGCCTCTCCCACTTGTAAAAAAGTTGTCAAACAAGATTGAAAGCACGAAAACTGTAACATCATCCCTTTGAGCACTGGCATCTTGATACACACCAAGCCACACAATCTCTGGAAAGCACGAAAACTTTAACATCATCCCTTTGAGCACTGGCATCTTGATACTCACACTTCAAAGTCGGCATAATTTTCTTCTTGCATTACAAACTCGCATGAATGGTTAACCTTGAAAAACACCAAGCCACACAATCTCTGGAACCCACCAGATTGAAATAAAACTTAAAATGTTTAATTGATATAAATCTGAAATCTCAAAGTTACAGCAGAGAAGTAGACTTTATATATTCTAATAGATCTAATAAAGTACAAAAATCAACTTTTATTCCTCCACAGCAATCAAAAACGCCCAACACTTCCAATCTGAATCCCTTCTCTTCAGAATCGTACCTGAAACAAAAATTTCATATTTGACATCCAACAAGATTTTGAGTACAATACACCTACCTTCTTTTTAGAAAATAAAACTACAACAGCAATTTTGATTGTTGAATTAAATGCTCAATGAATCTTGGACAATAAATCACATCCGTGGTTTCAATAACAGTTTTCAACTTAGTTTTTCTGAGACACAAGCTATTAATGATAAACTTCAGATAAGTGTAAATATGCACTGCAGTGGCTCGGTGTTGAACTTATCTGAATACCAAAAAAATGAAAATTTCAATCAAACAACTTATATTGAAGACAAAGAACCAACTGCAGCAGATCTATCAATAGAAATATCGCGAAAAAAACCTACCAGAAAAATTTATCAAAGATATTATAGGTATTGAAAGAACTGAATGCATGATTGTCAATATAAATGCTGAAAAAGAAAAACATTTAAAGGAAACATCAGGAGCATAACATAATTTATTTTTATTTTTGTATCAATCTACTAACAGGAATCCAGGACTACCATTTCTCATCATGAAAGTAGAAGTAGTTATGAGTCTCTCACAAGGCAGCATGCTATGGAAACTAGTCCTTGCCAACTGTTTTTGGTGTGTGGAATAACAAGGGACAATGGATATCAAAATTTAATGTGTACAACAAACAAACATAATCATAAAACAGAAACACAAAAGACCAAATCACACATCACATATACAAGAAATTACTTATTAATCATGGGGAAAATATGAGAAATATGAAAGCAGACGCAGAGGTGAGGACAAAAGGAAGAAGAATACATAAAATTAAGTTTAAAATCTACTATTCCCTTTTATTTTTAACATTAAAACTTTACTTTTTTGTATTTTATTCTTCTTCTCTCCTCTTTCTATTACCATCTTCATCTTCCATTTCCTCTATCTGCTAATTAGAACAAAAGCACAAGCATAACTAACAAACAGGCTCCTAGAGACTGAATCCACTCAATCAAGGCATTAATAAGAATGGTTTGCCCTACATCTCTTTACTACCATCAAGATGAGTCAAGTATACTAACCTCTCTCAATCTCTCATCTCCTGGTTTTATCAAGAACCTCTATGTATCTCTTTGGGATCCCATATTGTTCAATCATATGCTTTGCCAGATCATCAATCACGCCACCTTGAACCAGAACCTCATGCCCTTTCTTACCTGAAAAGAGAAACATGTGTTCATAAGAAAACCAAGGAAGGAATCCTTGAAACATCGCAACAAAATACTATTTCCAGACAACCAAAACTGGCAACAGGATTTATTACCATTGGAGAAAGGTTATAAGAATATACTTTAAACAGTAAGCAGCAGTATTCATTCATTAAGACTAACGTTGCCAGGCTACTAGAAAATTTTGAGAGAAGAAGAGAAAAGAATACACCTCACTAATATCAATTCAATTAACACAACAAAACACTGCACCTGGTAGTTCAGCCACCGTTGTGCTGCAAGCAAACTTCTTCTGTAGCTCTGATGCCAAAGCTTCAGGATCGACCAAAAAGGATTCCAGACCTGATAATTTGGTCACTTTCTTGTTACCTTGCCGCCTTTCTGTCATTATCTGTATTGTTTTCAGACCACCTTTACGAACAACCGACTCACTTCCCCTCGTCACAACGTGATGGGCTTGCATCCTGTTTACAAATGCTGCTCCTAAATCTCTCTTGTGAATTTCTGTTGGGTACATTGCACCTTTTTTTATGGCTCCCTTGAATAGTGCATCACATAATATTGGATCCAACACCACAATGGATTTATCTGAGGGCTTAACCAGGTTTTCTTTTTCAACATATGTAAACACAATATCTGTGGCATCTGAAGCACTGTATAGCTTTCCTGTGTCAGCCCCAACAGAAGCTAGTATGGGATTGACATGTACACTTGATTTATAGATCTCAGCCACTTCAAGCATTTTGAGGGACCGCCTTTCACTGACAGTAGCAACACCAGTTTGAACAGTTTTCTCCACTTCTCGTTTCTCAGGCTTAAAAGATGAGTAATCTGAATGCTTGCGGTTAACCGATAACAATACAGACTCCTTTTTGTATTTATCTTCTTTCACTGAAATCTGCATGTTTTGGAGCCAACATAGTGCAAACAAAGAGAATACAGATTAATCTCAGAAAACTGAACTGCTAAAAGGCACAGAGTACAGGAACACCAAAACTTAATCACTTGCTTGTTTTAAATTCCTACAAAAAGGTTACATCCTCTTTCCGAATGCACCAGAGTTTCTGTTTTTATTTTATAAGCATGACTTTTTTCATTTTTTTTTTCACACACCAAGGGGCATATCGCCCACGTACGCACTGTATATAGCAATTGAAATAGAAACAGAACAAGACTAAGAGCAATCACCATACAATGCTGAATCCCAATAAAGAAAGACTATATAACTGATTTACTGAAATTCAAGTTTTCCTTTTATGCTAATTGTGTATTGATTTTGCCGAGAGC